GGGGGGGGGGGGGGAGCGGAGGGGGGGGGGGGTGACAGATTATAATTAATTCCCGCCCAAGTCTTACTCTCTGATTGGCTGGAAATGATCATCCATGCATTCGAATCATTTCCCGAATAATCACATGAAACATTTTTGGAACAGTTCTATGTATCATTCTTATTTATGCACAGCACTCATAAATCACCCTTTCGCTTAGTTTTCTAATTGGCTGCTTGGTCTGCTTGTAAACAGCCTGTATATTCATTATAAATGCATGAGAAGTGCAACTTCAGTCTTTAATGGGACGTTTCAGGCATTTACTCACACTCATTGCTTTTCTAACCGCGTTTGACTTACTATTTCTTTAGTGGGATACAAAGGCACAGGCAAAAGGTTAGAGACAGACAGCCTTAGTCACCGTTCACTTCCATTGCATCTCTTTCCATACAATGAGAGTAAATGGTGACCGAGTCTATCACTCTGACTGCATCTTCTTGAAGAAAGTAAGTCACAGAAAGGTTCGAAACAACATAAGGGTGAACAAATTATATATTTCTAATTTCTCGTTGAAGTATTACTCAAACAATAACAAGGATAAACTAATTCAAGGGCAATGCAGAGATGTTCCAGTCGCTCAACACGAGCGCTCTCAGCTGCGCTAGCACCACCGTGACCATCCAGAATATGAACAACACACGGATGAAAACACACACATTAAAAACACCACACAATAAACTTTGGCTGGTTATTGTGATGGCTTAGTTGGCGATATGTTTACACAACACACCAGATGGTTGTTTTTCCTGTCCCCCAACACAAATCTCAAAGGAGCCAATGCGCAGTAATGTCCACACAACCATAAACAACGCAATTTCGCGCTCTTAAAATGTCAAATATCACTCCTAGAAGTGCGGATTGTTTTTACACAGGGATGCGAGACTTCATATCCCACCTAACCGGTGCCAGTTTTGGTAACATGTGCCAGTTTGGCATGGATGAAAATAACAGAGTTTTTTTAAATGAAAGGGACGGATAGATATAAACCGAGGCAGTTTGCAAAGCTGTATCACTGAATGAACCAGCTCAAACTACCTCGCATCCTCATCCTCAAGCTCGCTATAACTGCTTCTGTGCTTTGGCGACAACGCGCCAGGACAAACAAGGATGCGAAAGGATACAGTCTAACACAGTGCAACTGATACAAGTGCATCTTACCTGCATAACCAAAGAAAAGCAACGTCCAAATGAGATCCCTTATCTGAAGCATTGCAATCGCTTCCAACGGTATGATCCGTGTAGAATAGGTAGAGAGAGTTGGTTCAGTTATTATCTAAATGACTACGATGCTTTGTCCCTGTTTCAGGTTGATGTGATATCACGAATTGGTCCTCAGCCGTTGTCACAGAATGCGCTCCGAGCAGCACAGCGAATGAGTGACAAGAGCCGAGGCACGCACAACATGAATTCATCCGCCAGAGCTAGCGTATATGGAGCGCGCTGGATACGTGGGCATAAACTAGTTCGAGCACTTTATTCAGTCTGGTGCCGCTGCAAATCACAAACAGCAGATGGTGCGCTCGGAAAATGTCCTCATGGACTGCCGGGGTTATTCGGATTAGGAATTCTTGTAAACTCGACAATGGTTACCGGTATTCAATGGAGGTTTTTGTTTCCCCTCACCAGGCTCATTATATGAGTACAGAGCGGATGTGTGCGGCATCGCAGTAATCGCACAGTCCTTTCACCTACTGCACGTCCTCACGCAAATACAAGGGGAAACAAAGGGTCAAACAAATAGAATGCAACCTATTTTGCTCTATCAAAGTGGACTTAATTAACCATACTGGATACTGCATTTTTTAAAATGGGAATTATGTGTTTTTTCTTGGTGGCATAAAAATAGGCTATGGTAAACAACAGAATAATGCATGGAAGATTTTTTACATAATTGTCACAAAAAACAGTTGCTAAATAGCAGGTGCTTAACTGTATCAAATGCAAAACTGAGCCAAATGTACAGGGATAGTTCTGACAATTCTGCTATCATTTATTCAACCTGATGTTGTTACACACCCATGACTTTCTTTCATACTTTTGTGGAACACAAAATAATTTAAATCTAAAATATGAATCCTAAATTACCAAATAGTTTCCCGGCAGAAGAATGCTAAGAAAAAAAATAACAACAGTAAATTATTACAATTAATAAAATATTTACCAATCCACAAAAGAATATGAAATATATGTTATT